GCAATAATAGTAAAACTCGAGCGTCACGACATTGCGAAGTGTCTGCTCTTGTTCCTCGTATCGTACCCACTCGAGTCAATCCGAGATGGCCCGAGTGAAGTTTCATGCAAATGTTTCGTACGGAAAAAAAAATCGCGTCCGGGTTGGTATTTTCGGGTTAAATGACCAATTTTGTGTTCGTCCGTTCTCCGCTACCTGTTGTCAGATAATTCTGTACTTTTGATATGTTATAGTTCAGTTATTTAGGCAACTTGTTGTTTTTATTTGTTCAAAAGCTTGTGTAAAAGGCCATTTTTCTCGATTTTCGGAGTTCTCTTGTCTTCAAATCGCTTTGTTGAGCATTCACCATAAGAAAAGCTTCTTGTAGCCTATTTGCTAGAAAGAAACATTATTATTCATAGATTCGTTTGATGTAAGTTTTATTTTGATTGGTTGAAAAAGGGGCCTGTCATTTTACAAATTACCGTATGAAAGGAGGGTCCGAATGGCAGGGACGTTGCCAGGATTTTGAAAGGGGGGAGCCGTTATGCGAATTACGTATGACCCCGGCGGGGTCAAGGGGGCGAATCCCCCTGTGAAGTAGCGCAATCTGAACGTTCTTAGGACTGTTTGAGAGGATAAAGTGAAAATTGCAATACTTACTTACTTAATCCTCTTCATGCTCATAAGCACATAAGGCAGTAACAAATGATTTCCATTGTCCTCTATCCTGGGCCATCCATGATATTTCATTGATTGTTTTTGACATCTGTTTTCTTTCTTCTTCCACCGTTCGTCTCCATGTCCCCTTCGGCCTTCCTCTTTTTCTTTTCCCCATTGGTTTCCATCTTTCTGCCTGTCTTGGATGACGATCATTTTTCAGTCTAAGCACATGACCCAGTCAGTGTTTCGGTATTCAAGCTGACAAAACTCAAAAGCTGTTATGTTTGATCTGAAAGTTTATTGTGTCCCAACAAGTTCGAACCTATCAAATACAAAATACAAGAAACTACATAACTCAAGATGCTCAAACTTTTTAACGCGATAATATAGACTAGCGTAATTATAATTAATTAATTCTCAATACTTTTAACTCATATAATCAGTACTTAAACTCACACATTTTGACATCCAAGATTCAAATTACAGCTCAACTCAACTCGGTATACTCTACTCAGATGACAGCCTGAATGTCGAAATATCAATTAACCTAATGACAAATACAAAGCATTATCAAATAATGTTGGAAATAGCAGTGTTTCTCTTATATTATTGAGTAATAATAATGATAATATTTGTGGGTCATTCTTCAGTAAAGTGCCATTTTCCCGTCCCTCTGTTTTGATGAAGTATAAATTTTAAAATATTAAAGGAAGTTTTATTTTTATTGCGTTAATGCAATCTCGAACATATTTGTTAATGAAATAAGTTGTTAAATATTTTAAAAGTAATCAACATGCTGTTCATTTTTCAACAAAAAGCCTCTAAAGTCGCGCACTTTGCATGTCCCGATTGGATTTCTTAAAAATTCATAATGTCATAATTTGTAAAATAAATAACTTAAATAAATAAATGTACCACAAAAAGGTGAATACCTGTCTCTTATACACATCTAGATGTGTATAAGAGACAGCTCAATTCTAAGCATAACTATAATTCTAATGATTGTTAATTCGTAATTCCTAATATAACTTCGGAAACTCGGTAACAATAGCGACTATATCAATCTCAGTTTCACGATCTTATTTAATCATTAATTACCGATGTTTTACGATAAATTATGATCCGTAATACAATATGATGTTTAACTTACCGGTTGAACTGCTCAATACTCATAGAACAACCGTGTTAACTTTCTCAAATAACTAAATTACACTACAGAATTCTCGAACGCTTCTCTCTCTACGAAAAATAATTGCTGTGTCTTATCGGAGCGCGAAAAGAAAACCACAAAAATGTGAGACAGCTAACAAGAGAGTGTGCTCATTTCGTTCCCACACGAAACAGCCAGTTCCACCTCCTCTTCCGAATCTCCTCGTTTATATCATTTATTTGGGTTTTTCTCCTAATTTCCATGTTTTTACCGGATCTGGCCACCTGATGTTTAGGATCCTTCTCAGGCACCTCCCTTCAAAACCTCTTAATCTTGATTCAACTTTTCGATTTGTTCTCCAACTGCCTGCTGCATATAAAAGGACTGACCTGACATTACTTGAATAAATTTTTAGCTTCGTCTTTAACATGATATGTTTTGTTTTCCAAATTTTGTTTAGCATTTTGAAGGCATTTGTTGCAAGTCCAATTCTTCTTTGTATTTCTGTTTCGATATCTCCGTTACTGTTGAGATTGCTTCCCAAATAGATGAAGTTGTCAGTTTGTTGGATTTTGTTTTCTTCGATGACTATTTCTTTTTCCATTTTCAGGTTGATTTTCATTATCTTTGTCTTTTTCTTGTTTATTTTAAGACCAATACTTCTGACTTGCTTTACTACTCTATCAGTCTTTCTTTGCATTTGTGCTTGATTTGCACTAATCAGACATATGTCGTCGGCAAAGTCTAGGTCCTCTAGTTGTCTAGTGAGTGTCCATGGTATGCCTTCCTTTTCTCTTAGAGTAGCCATCTTCATTGTCCAATCAATTGCAAGCAGAAAGAGGAAAGGAGATAGTATGCATCCTTGTCTGACACCAGTTGTTACTTCAAATTTGTCAGTTGTCTTGCCCTCATGTAAAACACAGCAGGTGTACCCACTGTACATCTTTTTGAATATGGTTATTAGTTTTTTTGAAATTCCGTAAAGTGAAATTATTTTCCAAAGTGTCTCCCTATGGACACTGTCAAAGGCTTTTTCAAAATCTATGAAATTCAGGTGAAGGCTGCTGTTCCACTCTATGCTCTGTTCAATTATGGTTCTGAGAGTGAATATATGATCCATGCATCCTCGTCCTTTCCTGAAGCCGGCTTGTTCTTCTCTTACTACTCTTTCTAATGATGTTTTCATTCTTTTTAGTATGATTCTACTGAAAATCTTTCCTGGTATAGAAAGCAGAGTTATGCCTCTCCAGTTGTTACAATCTAAACTATCCCCTTTTTTTTGGTATTTTTACAATAATTCCAGACTTCCAGTCTTCTGGTACTTCTTCTTCTTCCCAAATTCTATTTAATAGCTTTCTTAATGCTTTAGAACTGACGTCTATGCTGGCCTTGATCATCTCACCTGTAATTTTGTCCTCTCCAGGTGCTTTCCAGTTTTTGGTCTTTTGGATTGCTTGTTTGACTTCACTTAAGGTTATCTGTCCCATATTCATTTCAAAAGTGTGGTTCTGCATATCTAGGTTAATGATTGCCTCTCTTCGATTGGTGGCTATTTAATACCTCCTGAAAATGTTCTTTCCACCTCTTTGACACCTCTTCTTGTTTTGTAATTCTTGTTCCGTGTTTTCCTTTTACAGTTGAAGACGAATTTATTTGGTACGATCCTATGAGAGATTTTGTAATTTTGTATAATGTACCTAGATCTCCTCTGTTGGCTGCTTTTTCCGCTTCTTTCGTTTGTTCTTCAAAGAATTGTTGTTTATCTTCTTTCACACTCTTCTTCACTTGTTTATTCTTCCGTTTATACTTATTATCTCTCATAAAGTTTCCCTTTCTTGAGAGAATTTCTTGTTTCAGTTTCTTTCTCTCTTCGATAAGATTCCATGATTTTGGTGTCATCCATGTTTTCCATGCTTTTTTCTTTTGCCCTAGGACCAAACTGCTTGTCTCTGTAAAAGCCTGTTTAAATTTTGTCCAGCCACTCTCAATGTCCTCAGTCGGTAGCTCTTCTAGTACTTCAAAACTATTCTTGAGATTGATTTCAAAGATGTTTCTAGTGACTGGGTCTCTCAGCCTCTGAGTGTTAAAGAGAATTTCTGGCTTTTTGTTTGACGTTTTACGTAATTTTAATTTAATTTGGCTTGCCAGTAAGTGATGATCACTTCCCACATCAGCACCTCTTTCTGCCTTGACTTCTTGAAGGGATGTCCTCCATTTTCTATTTATTGTGATGTGGTCTATCTGATTTTTTGTTTTCCCAGTTGGAGAAACCCATGTTTCTTTATGGATGTCCTTATGTTTGAAGATAGATCCTCCAATGATTAAGTCGTTCTCCATGCAATAGAAAAAAAAAATTGCAATAGACGCATTATAAATAAGCGCAAAAATAATTATATAATAAATCAACAGTGGCAGATCCAGGAATTCGAAAGAGAGGTGAACCAGGGAGGGACTTTCACAGACCGAGGAACCACCCACCTCAGCCCCACCATGGTTGGGGCTGAGGTAAGAAAATTTATGATTAAGGCGTCTCTAGATGGCCGGAAATTACACTCTCGCACTTCAATTTGAATATATTTTTCTTTTTTGTTTTCTTAAAAAAATGAAGGGGAAGGGGGCCTTGAATCCACCTCTGCTCAAAACATTCTTTATCCAGAATAGTCATAATCACGAAAAATGGACATGAAAAACCAGATCACATCCTAAAAACAAACAGCAATCACTAAGACATACATCAGGAGCCGACTCGACGGAGTTTAATATCATACCCAGGGAAGGGCACAGATCTGTTTTGAAAGGTGGAGGGGGAGGACATTTTGTGAGTCGACACCCACCTCAGCCCCACCATGGCTGGGGCTGAGGTGAGAAAATTTGAGGAAATAGTACCTCTAGATGGCTAGAAATGAAACTTTTATTAAAATTCATCATCATCACATCACCTTAGTCAAAATGAAGCGCCAAAAAAATTCTCATGATCTTCCATCAGGGATTTTTGACATCCATACAGATTCTATTAATGTGCGTGTGTGTATGTCATAGAAAACAAAGCTTAAAAACATTGTCTTTGAGTATGTACTTTACATAGGCCTACATCAAAAATGTGATTTCACAACCACCTCAGTCCCACCATGACTGGGGCTGAGGTGAGAAAATTTGAGGAAATAGTACCTCTCGAGATGGCCGGAAATGACACTTTTATTTAGTAACATTCATCATCATCATCACATTACCATTATAGTCAAAATGAAACGCAAATTTCTCATGATCTTTTATCAGGAATCTACTTAATATCCAGGACAACTTAGGCCTAATTATAGCTTACTAAGCTTTAACTATATATACATAGTATGATCAACAAATCACAACTTTTTTTTCGCATTTAGCACAATTTTCTTCTCTTTTTATTGCTATTAATATTATTATCAATTATTACTATCGTCATCATCATCATTGTTATTATTATTATTACTATTAAGTAGTATTATTAAACAAACATGATCTTTTATCAGGGATTTTTGACAACCATAGAGATCTTATTAATGTGTGTGTGATATACCATAGAAAAAAAAAGCTTAAGAACATTGTCTTTGAGTATGTACTTTACATAGGGCTACTTCAAAAACGTGATTTCACAACGTCCTCAGCCCCACCGGTGGGGCTGAGGTGAGAAAATTTGAGGAAATAGTACCTCTCGAGATGGCCGGAAATGACACTTTTATATAGTAAAATTAACTATATATACTATATTATGATCAACAAATCACAACTTTTTTTCGCATTTAGCACAATTTTCTTCACTTTTTATTGTCATTAATATTAATATCAATTATTCCTATTGTCATCATCATCATCATTGTTATTATTATTATTACTATTAGTAGTACTATATTATTAAATAAACATTTAAATAAACTTGCAAAAGGATAAAAACGAAAATGAACCACAGTATCGCATTTCTATCTTAAAAGACCTGGCCTGAGATTTATGGATTTAAGATTTTTTTAATCACGCTTAGGCCTATGTGTTCTATTATGCCTATGTATAACGTGTACTGATGCATATTTACATGTTTAGAAGTATTCATTTTGAGTGATCCCAGGAAAGAATTTGTGTTGGCTCAAGAATAAGCTTTAAAATTTTAACACTGTGTACAAAGGGGGAGCCGCGGCTCCCACGGCTCCCCCCTGGATACGTCCCTGCCGAATGGTCAGTTTTCCATAGACGCATTTTGTTGAGCCAGGATAGGCGAGCGCTATGGTTTAGGTGAAACCTCTAAACGTTTTGTCAGAATATCGAATACTTCATTAAATATTTGTATCTTGGTGTTTAATAATGATCAAGAAGAATTCTATTGAAATATTTTTTGCTACTATTCAGGGTTGCTAGATAATCAACAGGCTTCACGGCCAAACACACGCCATCTCACGGCCAAATTCGGCCAAACTTTTTTTCGATATCGGCCAAAATTGGGCCAGATTTTAATCCGATTAACAGACAACAGTGGGTAAATTCATTTGAAATACTGCAAAAATTATACGAAAATCAGCGGTCATTCGTTTGAAATTGAAGAAATTCAAATGATATACACAGAACAATGTTAAAAATAAATAGCCTATGTTCTTCAGTTGCTGGCATGCAAGCTAATTCAGGGGAAAATCCAGAGATGTCCGAAAGGAGGACCGGGGCCGAAAATGGGGGAGGGGGCGAAAGATGTGTCCGATCGAGATAACACCATCTTTGAAGAAATTTGTCCCCCCGAAAATAACCTGATGCGTTTGGGCGATCAATTTTTATTTTTTTTTCTTTTTTTTTTTTAACCACACCCCCTCCTTAAATCACCTCTGCTATTTAAAATCACAATATTAAGATTGATCTAAATTTATTAAATATTAATGTACATTGTAGTCGATCTATAACAACAATTTTTAGGACCTGTTATTGGCAAATCCGTGGCTCTCTTTAATTAAAATGAATTAAGTTACATAGTTAACACAAACTGGCGTTCAAACAAACTTATGAAAACTTTAATAAATACTTTTTATCTAAACTTTCGAAATTCGCCTCTGAATGTTATTGTCGCAGTACTTAAAGCAATAAATCAATGTTGCTATCAGAATTATCTTCATTCTCATGTGCAACCTAACTCCAGAGTCTCTGCAACACTTGCTTGAAATTGGAGGTGCCATCGTACCCAAATGAGTTGTATCTTGTCATGACAACATAACTTTTATTATGTCGATTTGTCAAGATAACCTATCTCGCCAAGACAACATAACATTTTTACTATGTCGACTTGTCAAGATAATTTATCTCACCATGACAACATACAACTCTTATTATGTTCACTTGTCAAGATAACCTATCTCGTCATGACAACAAAACATTTTTAGTATGTCGACTTGTCAAGAAAATCTATCTCGCCATGACAACATACAACTTTTACTATGTCGATTTGTCAAGATAATCTATCTCGCCATGACAACATACAATTTTTACTATGTCGACTTGTCAAGATAATCTATCTCGCCATGACAACATACAATTTTTACTATGTCGACTTGTCAAGATAATCTATCTCGCCATGACAACATACAATTTTTATTATGTCGACTTGGCAAGATAACCTATCTTGCCATGACAACATACAACTTATATTATGTCGACTTGTCAAGATAACAACATACAATATGTATTATGTCGACTTGTCAATATAATCTATCTCGCCATGACAACATACAATTTTTACTATGACGACTTGTCAAGATAATCTATCTCGCCATGACAACATACAATTTTTACTATGACGACTTATCAAGATAATCTATCTCGCCATGTCGACATGATATGTATGTTATGTCGACTTGACAACATAAATTATCTTGACAAGTCGTCAAGTCGAATGGTACTTAGGATCTTCCGTATTTCGGCAACCACAGAGATCTAGTTAGTATGTGTTTACACATAAAACTTAAAAACATTCTCTGTGATGTATACTTACCTACTTTAAAGCCATGAGCCCACAACCACCTCAGCCGGGCCCCACCATGGTACATGGTTGGGGCCGAGGTGAGAAAATAGTACCGTACCTTTAGATGGCCGAAAATGACACTTTTATACAGTAAATTCACCATTAACATCACACCATCATTATTTAGTCTAGATGAAGCGCCAGAAAATTCCTCATGATCTTTAATCAGGGATTTTCAGCAACAACAGAGATCTAATTATTACGAGTCCTAGAAAATATAAAGAAACACTCCTTTGATGTAGGCCTAGTATTTAAAATACTCGACCTACCTCAAAGCCATGGCCCCTCACCTCAGCTCCACCATGGTTGGGGCTGAGGTGGAAAAAATTGAGGAAATAGTACCTCATGATGGCCGAAATGACACTTTTTTAATAGTAAAATTCATCATCACATCAGCATTATAATAATATAGTCAATATGAAGCGCCAACCGGGGCGCCAAAAAATTCTCATGATCTTTTATCAGCTATTTTCGGCAACCATAGAGATTTAATTAGTATGTGTGATGTACTGTACGTTACCATAGAAAATAAAACTTAAAAACATTGTCTTTGATATATGTACTCTGGCTGTACAGCGCTCTTTCGTTAAAACCTGGGTCATTTATGCATTTATGTCAACAATTTTCAGGCATATCTTCTTGACTCACTAAAAGTAAGGGGACTCTTCCTCCCCCTTAAAAAATATGTGAGGGAAGATTTACAGGGGTTGCGCCAGTGGGTGGGGAGGGGGGTGTCCAGCATCCCCGTCCTCTTCAGGGAGACCTGCTCCTCCCGCCACGTCGGGGCCGAGAGCGGGGAGAAAAAAAATTATAAGTAGGCCTGTACATACCGTAATAATTAGTAGACTCTAAAATTGATTAAATAAGCCTTTGAAACCGCTAAATTGTCAAAATTTTGGGGGCTTCGTCCCCTAGACAACTTTCGAGGCATTTAAAGCGACGTCCGACCACGCCCACTTTGTTCTCGTCGGGGAAATGTTTCCCCTCGTCGGGGATATCGCCACCCCCGTCGGGCAAATCCTGGCGCCACTGGACGTTTATCCATCCTCCATGATCTGCGCCCATTGGTGCGTGAGAGTCACCAACTCAGCCCCAACATGCCCCCACAACCATATCCACCTGAGCCCCACCAAGGTTGGAAAATTTAAAGAATTTGGGACTTACAGATACCAGAAAATAGCACTTGAATAGTACAAAATCTGCGAAAACGCTATCCACCTTAGCCAACCATGGCTGTAAGGCTGAGGTTAGACAATTGTAAGAACTTGAGACTTCCAGATGCCCATTTAAGGGGCACTTTTTATTTTGT